GAAGAGGCTATTGACAAGTATGTCAAGTGTGTTGAAGATACGTTTGGGAAGTGCAAACTGAACAAGCACACATACACAAACTGTGCCGTTCGGTATAACAAGACCGATGATGGGAGCGTCACTCTTGATCAGGACGAATACATCAAACAGCTTCGTCCTATCACACATCCAGAACTCACAGGAGCTGATCCTGAGAGCAAAGCGACAAAGACGATTTCTGATATGTTCGTCAGTCTTCGTGGCGCTCTAGCCTATGCGTTGATCACGCAGGTATGGCTGATGGTCTATGTTGTCTCACTACAACGTATCCAGGAACCGACAAACATCCAGGTACGACGACTAAACGCGGTTACCAGAAAACTACAGGCAGGTCCGAAGAAGATCGTGTATCAAGCTATGACCCCAACAGGAGAAGTCGACCTGCATAGCGATTCTGGCTATCGTCGTCTCAACGGAGATGAAGACGACGAAGTCAAAGGCTATGGTATCCGCGGGGCTAACCTGCTGAGGCGTGGCCACACGCAAGCGGGGAAACCCGTCGTGCACCTGGTGGACGCATACTGCAAGTCTCATCGACTGCAGGTGCGTTCGAGCTACTCTGCGGAAACACTGGCAGCAGCCCACAACTTGGAAGACTGCTACCCGACCATTGTAACGCTCCACGAGCTACACTCGGGACCATTGACCCCCACACAGTTAAAGAACATATTGGAAATGGGTGGTCTATGTATCAAAGTCACTCTGACTATTGATGCCGAGTCTGTCTTCAAGTCTTTATCTAGCAAAGATCTGAAGAAGCCCACAGAATGTACTCTGCTTGGGCACATTAGCTGGATCCGCCAGATGATGGAGCGCGGAATCGTTGAAAGCGTTCAATGGTGTGACACGCGGGATATGACTGCCGATGGTCATACCAAAGGTAGTATTGACCGCGCGTTGCTCCTACAAGTAATGGCCGGCCAGCAATCCTTCAAGCACGAGCTGAAGAAACATACACCGTATAGGGCGGGCAGGTCGTCTCAGGACGGCCCTGCCTCCCGAGCTAGCGGGGAAACCCGCGGGCAGGTGCGCTTTAATAGCGAGGAAACTCGCCGGTAGCGAGGCTACTCGCGCGCCCTTTCCTTGTAGGCAGCCGCTGCTGCTTAGCACTGTTTTTCCGCATAATGTAGAAGTGCGGTGCCTGCTCGTCTCCTCCCCCTCCGACTTTAAACGGAGAAGGTTAAAGGCGAGGTATAAATCGAGCATGTACCGCTGCCGTGCCTGGCTCAAGCCGGGCCCGGCCAAATATGTGATTGCGCCTCACCGAGGCGCACGACTTGCATCAGAGATCGGAAAATACCTTTTCCATTGACGATGCCCATCCTATCCTTTACTCCAGATCCCATGCTTCGTCTTGCTCTCTTGCTCATGCGATATGAGCCAAAGCCTGGGATATGGCAACGCTTAAAGCGTAACACATACCTAAGCTTACCAGCTTGTTTTCGACTCAATACCCCCACTTTGTGGGGGGGCCGGTTCAAGCTCTACCAAATTTCCAAACGACTCTTCGCCACCACCCACACCCAGCTTCCCGCCCTATGACGTTCGGACACTTCACTTCGTGGCATGCGGACGACCGTGGCTACTATTCAGGGCCCCGCGGCCGACGACGACGGCGTGCGCGCGCGAAGAAAAAACGAATGTGTCCCGCATGGTATTATTTGACAGGGATGATGGCCCTGGCAGGTGCGCAACCGTTGTGCAGAAGTTCGAAAAAGTTGCTCGCAAAAGCCCGTTTGACAGAAATGTTTAAAAAGTGTTGGGTTTCCTACGAATCCGCAAGAGCGCGCGGGATGAAATTTTGACAATTTTTTTTTGAAAAACCATTGGTTTTTTTTATGTTTTTATGTTAAAATCGCTACGAAAACTAAGGTTTTGGAAGGATTTCGTCTTGCGCGCGCGAATGTCCACTTTACCTTATTTTTTGCAAGGGATTCTTGAAGTTTGGTTATGTTAGAACAAGAAATGTCCACTTTAGCTTATTTTTTGCAAGGGAAAACCGATCGTAACAACACAACCGGATCCGGACCCCCGTTTTGCCTGAGACTTCCTCACGAAAATGATGAAAATGAGGCTGCGGCCTAGGCGCGGCGGGGGGTCGTGCACCAGGGGTCCCAACAATAATTATTCTTTAGAAGTAATAATGTTCAACAACAACAACAACAACACATCATTTTACCCGACGCGTGGTGTTCTCCCCAGTGCCAGGGTTTTCATACGACACCAGGCAATACCCCCACTTCGTGGGGGGGCATTACAAGCTCTACCAAATATCCAAACGACTCTTCGCGACCACCCAAACCCAGCTTCCCGCCCTATGACGTTGGGACACTTCACTTCGTGGCGTGCGGACGACCGTGGCTACTACACTGGCGTGGGGTACACACCCACAGAACCCAATGGTTTTTGGAGATTTCGGCGTGCGCGCGCGAAGAAAAAACGAATGTGTCCCGCATGGTATTATTTGACAGGGATGATGGCCCTGGCAGGTGCGCAACCGTTGTCGCAGAAGTTCGAAAAAGTTGCTCGCAAAAGCCCGTTTGACAGAAATGTTTAAAAAGTGTTGGGTTTCCTACGAATCCGCAAGAGCGCGCGGGATGAGATTTTGACATTTTTTTGTTGAAAAACCATTGGTTTTTGATGTTTTTATGTTAAAATCGCTCCGAACACTAAGCTTTTGGAAGGATTTCGTCTTGCGCGCGCGAATGTCCACTTTACCTTATTTTTTACAAGGGATTCTTGAAATTTGATTATATTAGAACAAGAAATTCATTTTATAGTGTTTTTTGCAAGGGAAAACGGATTACAACAAAACAACCGGATCTTGATCACCTCGTATTACCTGAGGCTTCCTCACGAAAATGATGAAAATGTAGCTGCGGCCTAGGCGCGGCGGGGGTGGCGCGCACCAGGGGGCCCAACAATATTATTAACGCGTTCGCTCATCCGCCCCCGGCCCATACAGTCTCCATGTCTGCCGTATGCCCGAGGGCCTGGTTCCAATGGCGGCGCTTTGGGGGTTCCTGGGGCCGCTCTGGTGGCACTCCAGGGGCGCCATCGGGGGGGCATTATGGGGGCCTCCCGGGGCCGCTTGGGTGGACTCTTGGGGGCCTCCTGAGGGCCTCCTGGGGGCCTCTTGGGGCCTCTTAGGGGCCTCTTGGGGCCTCGTGGGGGCTTCTTAGGGCCGAGGGCTCGAAATGTTGTTTCGTGTTCCCTCTCTGGGGCCCTTTGGGGGCGTTCTTGGGGCCCTTTTGGACCGTCTTGGAGGCTTCTTGGGCCGTCTTCGAGCCCTCTTGGGCCATCTTGGGGCCCTCTTGGGTGCCTCTTGGGCCCTCTTGGGGCGATCTTGGGGGCCTCTTGGGCCGTCTTGGGGCGTCGGGAAGCCGAAAAGGTGGAAGCTCCAAAATCTCTCAAAAACCTATGGAAAAACAATGATTTTTGCCTCCGGGGGCCCTATTGGGAGTGCTCTTGGAGGCCTCTTGGGGCGTCTGGGGGCTATCTTGGGCGTCTTGGAGCGATCTTGTGGCATGTCGGACCCCTCGTGTACCATCTTGGGGGCCTCTTGGGGGCCTCTTGGCCTTTCTTGGGGCTCTCGGGGACGTCTCGGAGCCCTGTTGGTGCGCTCATGGAGCGCTCGGGGGGACCCGGCCGGGACCCGGCCGGGACCCGGCCGGGACCCGGCCGGGACCCGGCCGGGGACCGGCCGGGACCTGGTCGGGGTACTTTTCGTCCGGGGACCCCCAGGGGCCGCCCCGCGCGCGCGAACTAGAAAATTGTTAACCAGTTACCGGAGATCTTAGCACGCCTCTGGCCCGTTGGGCCGGCGAATTCTTTAGAATTAATAATGTTCAACAACAACAACGACAACGACAACGACAACAACAACACTAACAACAACAACCACCACCACCACCACGACGACGACAACAACGACGACAACAACAACAATTGTCCGTATCGCGAAATCCCGCTTCGGCCACGCACCCAGGGACATTGACCGTTCGGCCCCCTCGCTCTGATGATGATGTCAGCCAGTTCCGACCTTTCGCAACAGGAGTGGTAATTCGCACTCACGCTGCAGCGGGAGATTCCGCTGCCGATCCCGCCAACTCGCCAGCCAAGCCTGCTGGTGGAGTTCGAACACCAGACCAGCGCACACTTCCGACAAGCGAACCGCAATGCATGTTTGACGGCATTATAAGCGGCCGCCAGTTCTTGCAATGCTGACGCGATCAAAGAGTGGCAGGCTGGCGCTACGAATCAACGCCGTGCCCCGATGGAGTGACTACAAGATTTTTACGCAAACATTATCACCACAGCTTCTGGTGACAGCAAGCTCGGCACCTCCCGTGCCCGCAGCAGTCTTCTCGCACAGACTGCCCGACTGCTCTCTTACCCTGCTGCTTGGGGGGGTGCCGCAGCCCACGTCTGTGATCTGCGTGCCAGGGTCTGGCTCCACACATTCGGGGTCGAAGCGCTGCCCGTCGAAGGACGTGCCTCGTGCCGCCGCGACACCGCTCCGCCGGGCCACCTTCCTGGCCACACTGTCCCCTCCTCGTTGTCGCTCCGCCTCCTCTCGGAGCAGGAAAGGCGCCGATGCCGCTACCTTTGCCTCGTTGGCGCCCGTTCGGGCCTCCTGTGAGGTCCTCGTCGCCACGGCTCGACTCTCTTCGAACTTGGTCAAAACGCACCCAGGGACAGGTCCGAAGGATCGCGGCATAAATACCTTCTGGCCCCCTCACAGCTGGGCGTGCACGCCAAGCGCTTCCCCCAACGCCCGTGCCACCAGTTTTGCGCGATGGCCTCCTCCGCCGCTCAAAACCGTCGAGGAGCGGTCATTGGCCCCACCGCGGCGTCGGCCCGCAGGCCGCGACCGGCGCCGGTGCGCCCGCAGAGACAACCCACAGCGGCGGGGCCATAGCTGCGTGCCGCCGGTGCTCCTCCCCGCTCGTGGCCGCCAGCGTGCGGGCGCCGCCGACCAGGCCGTGCCGTGGGAGGCTCTCTGCGCCGTCCTCGGCCGCCGCGGGCCGCGGCGCCGCTGCCGCAGGGCTGCCTCAGAGCGCCGGGGTGCGCCTCTCGCGGCGCCGTGGGCCGTCCGCGCCGCCCGCGTGCACCTCAGCTCGCTGCGGCCGCGGAGCACCGCCGCCGCAGGGCTCGAGGCGCCGCGGGTGCCGCCCTGTGCGCCGCCGAGGCGCGGAGGCCACACGGCGCGCAGGACGGCAAGCCACCCCGCCGCGCGCGCAGCCGATGCCGCAGGGCGTTGGCGCTGTGGAAGGCCTCGGCCTGCCCGTCGCGCTCGTCGGCCTCCGCGGTTGTATTGTGGTCTGTCGCCGCAGGGCCTCCAGCAGTCGGACGGTCGGCCCCGCTGCAGCCGATGCAGCCCAGCGGCTGGTGCGGGCGCCAAGCAGACGCCGGGGGCGTCTGCATACAGTGCCGCGCTGTGGCGGTGCGTCGGCGCCCCGCTCGGCACTCGCCCCGCCCTGCCGCACGGTGCAGTCAAGACGCTGAAACAGGGACCACTTTGGGCTCACGAGGGGCTCTGCTCTTCGGGCCGTTCCTCGGGGCCAGATCGGGGCATGTATTCGTGGCCGAGGCTCGCCGTAGCCAGAAGAGATCCTCAGAAAGTCGCACGGTGGCTGTAGGCGCCAGCGCCACCAGACAGCATGCGAGCCCGTGGTTCTTAGAGCTGAGGACGAAGCCGTCGATCATGGACGGCGTGCTCCAGCTGGGCCGCGGAGAGCTCCGAGAGCCGCACCACTGCCCAGTTAAGCAGAGCATGGTAACTGAGCGCTGGGCCGCTTGGCGCCCGGCTGAATGCTCATAAGCCAGCCGCCTTTCTCGGGCCCGCCACGCGCCCTTCCAAGCACTTCCGCGGCAAGTTACCAGGCGCCCCCGCGTGCGCGTGCCACACCAGATTGAACCACGAGGAGGTCTGAGGGCTCGACCCAGAATCCGTGTGGGTTCTGTGAGCACGTAACTCGAGAACCTCACTGGGACATCGGTTTCGGCTAAGGGTTCGGTTATCTTCCTCCCCCTCCTCCTCCTCTTCCTCCTCCTCCTCCTCCTCCTTCTATTCCTTCCCCCCACCCCTCCGTTGAGTTCTCCTCGCTGCCAGCGAGCCAAGGGTGTTGGCCTGGCTCCATTATGATGACCCGTAGCGCTCTCCGCACGAGAGAGGCAGTGCCGAGTTTCGCATGCCTAGCGTCGGAGTCCGCCCCGATGCGCTCTCCCCCGATCTCCAACGTCTCGATACCTTCGAGCTCAGATCTCCCACCATCTGATGTGTTCAATATGTGCACATTTGTCTCTTCGATTTCAGCCCCATCGGGCCCTGCGATCATAAAAACTTGACCCGGGACGAAAAACACAGATTTGGTGTGTGTCTATGTGTGAAAGAGCGCGTTGGGGGGGTTGGAACCGGACCCCCCCCCCTCCTCTCCCTCCTGTGACGGAGGGGGGGGGGTTCAAATCCCCCCCCCTCTCCCCCCTACCGTGACGGAGAGGGGGGGGGTTCAACCCCCCCCTTCCTCCCTCCATTGCTTCCCTTCTCCTTGGGCCGGCGCTTGCGTCGGCGGCGGCTGGCGACGGCGGCGGGAACAACGATTTCCATTTCTGGGCCGGCGCCGGCCGGCGCCTGCGGCGGCGGGCGGCGGTGGCGGGGAGCGTCGACGAGGACGACGGTGGTGGTGGTGGTGGTTGGTTGTGGCGGTGGTGGTGGTTGTGGTGGTGGTGGTGTGGTGGTTTGTTTTTGCTGGTGGTTGTTGGGCGTGGGTGGGTGGTGGTGTGGTGGGTGGGTGGGTGGGTGGTGGTGGTGTGGGTGGGTGGGTGGGTTGGTGGGTGGGTGGTGGGTGGTGGTGGTGGGTGGGTGGGGTGGGTGGTGGTGGTGTGTTGGTAGTGGTGTGGTGGTGGTGGTTTGGTGGGTGGTGGTGGTGGTTTGTGGTGTGGGGGTGGTGATGGTTGTGGGTGGTGGGGTGGTGGTGGTCTGGTGGTTGTATGGTGGTGTGGTGTGGTAGGTGGTGGTGGTGGTGAGTTGTGGTGGTAGCGGTGGTTTGTGGAGGTGGTGCTGGTGGTGGTGGCGGTGGTGGTGGTGTGGTGGTTTGTGGTGGTGGTGGGTTGTGCTGCTAGTAGTGGTGGTGGTTGTGCTGCGTAGGTGGTGGTTGTGGCGGTGGTGGGTGGTGTGGTAGATGGTGGTGGTGGTGGTGGGTTTTTGTGGTGGTGGTGGTGATGGTGAGTTGTGGTAGTGGTGGTTGTGGTGGTGTGGTGGTGGTGGTGTGGTGGTGGTTTGTGGTGGTTTGTGGTGTTGGTGGTGGGTTGTGGTGGTGGCGGTGGTTTGTGGACGTTTGTTGTGATGGTGGTGGTGGTGGCGGTTGTGGTGGTGGTGGTATGGTGCTTTTGTGGTGGTGGCGGTGGGTTGTGCTGCTGGTAGTGGTTGTGGCGGTGGTGGTGGTGTGGTAGATTGTGGTGGTGGTGGTAGTGGTGGTGGGTTTTTGTGGTGGTGGTGGTGGTGATGATGGTGAGTTGTTGTGGTGGTTGTGGTGGTGATGGCTGTGGTGGTGGTGGTGGTTGTGGTGGTGGTGTTGGTGGTGGTGTTGGTGGTGGTGGTGGTGGTGGGTTGAGGTGGTGGTGGTGGTAGTTGTGGTGGTGGTGGTAGTGGTGGTAATCGTCGCTGCGTCCCCGCCATCGCTGGCGCCAGCGCCGGCGCTGCTGGCGCCGCCAGCGCCGGCGCCGGCACGAGGGGGGGGGGTTCAACCCCTGTCTCCCCCCCCCGGCGCCAGGGGGAGGGGGGTTTCAACCCCCTCCCCCCCCTGAGCTGCCTCTGCTGGTCATCGTCGCTGCGTCCCCGCCGTGGGCGCTGCTGGCGGCCGCCAGCGCCGGCGTCGGCGCCGGCGCCAGGGGGGGGCGGGGGTTCGGGAGGGGGGGTTTTGGGGGGGAAGGGAGTCCCCCTGGTTTTGATCGACGGCGCCGAGTGTTGGGTGGGGGGGCGGCCACCCCCGGGTTTGAAACGCGCCGCCGAATGGATCCCAAGGCAAGCGCCCGTGAAACGCGTTCTCTCGTATGTGTGTGTGTGTGGATGTGTGTGTGTGTGCGTGCGTGCGTGCGTGCGTGCGTACGTGCGTGTGTGTGTGTGTAAGTGTGTGTGTGTGTGTAAGTGTGTGTGTGTGTGTGTGTGTGGTGTGTGTGTGTGTGTGTGTGTGTGTGTGTGTGTTGTGTGTGTGTGTGTGTGTGTGTGTGTGTGTGTGTGTGTGTGGTGTGTGTGTGTGTGTGTGTGTGTGTGTGTGTGTGTGTGTGTGTGTGTGTGTGTGTGTGTGTGTGTGTGTGTGTGTGTGTGTGTGTGTGTGTGTGTGTGTGTGTGTGTGTGTGTGTGTCGGGGCGTTTGCTGGGGCCACGGTTTGAAGCGAACATATCTTCGGGCGTGAGGGCTCGAGGCTCGGCGCCAGGGCTGGCTTGTCATCCCAGGTCGTCTTGCGACGGCCCTGCAGGGAGGAGGAGGAGGACGAGGAGGAGGAGGAGGAGGAGGAGACAGGAGGAGACAGGAGGAGGAGGGGGAGGAGGAGGAGGAGGAGGAGGAGGAGGAGGAGGAGGAGGAGGAGGAGGAGAAGGAGGAGGAGGAGGAGGAAGAAGAGGAGGGCTTCACAGCCTATGTTAGAGATCGACAGAGTGGAAGTACGCACAGGCCCGAGATGTGACGGAGACTCTGGAGATCGGGGCCACCTGGCCGGCCTGGCTCGGGGCTCGGACGAAGTCCAGCCCGGCATGCCAGCGCCGGCGGCCCCATCGCGCCCCAGTTCCATGCCGCGCATGACGCGGGGCCCTCCCGGCGGCATTGGCCGGGGGGCCTCGCCGTGCCCGCTGAGAAAATATCGGCCATCGCGGGAGGGGAGCGCGTGAGAGAGCCGATGGCGCGCCGTCGCCGGGAGCCCGTCCGCGTGTCCCTCCTGTGGTTTTTGCCCGGGGGCCTGAGGTTTGGCATCGCTCTGGACGTGTGCATTTTTTTTCGGCAAAGAACCTCGAGGAGCAGTTTGGAACATCCTGCGAGAAAAACACACGCGCGAAGTCGAAAAATGCACGGAGAATGGACGTCCGAGCGATGGTGAGGAGGTGCAGCTTCGACGGTGACGCGCTGATGGCTTCCCCCCCGGCGGCGTGCCATGGCTGCAGTCAGGCAGTGACGAAGCGTCCCGGCGTGCCTATAGGCCTACCAGGCAATGTTCTAAGAACCCTTTGTGGTCTGCCCGAAATGTTCTTAGAACATTTCTGGCGGAGTCTTGTTTTATCACGTCGGGCTTATGTTCTAAGAACCTTGTTTTCCATAGAACATCTTGGGGTTCTCAGAACACCGCCTGGTAGGACTAACGTGTTCCTATCTGGCTCACCAGGGACCTACAAGTCTCACGTTTCTGTTAATCGAATCCGCGAAATGTCTTCTCTAGTGTATTACGAGAGGCCCCAGTTTCTTCCCCGTTGGTGCATGCGTATCCTTCTTCCCTCTCTCCCGCGTCCCTTCTCATCCCTCCCCTCCTACCCACAGTACAAGAACAGCCTTTTCCGAACTTGTGACGCTCGATACGTATTTTGCAAGCTCCCTCAGCGAGCTTTCGACGGCCACGCCGACTCTGTAGACTGACCCACCGACTGCTCCACCCCATCTCACGGAACCGGCGCCGATGTCATGAGAGGAGCCTCTCCTGCTGAGTGCCACCTCGGTCTCCGGTGCACCTCGGTGCGCCCTCCTCCCTCGGCTTCGATGCCCCCCCGGCGCCCCCTCCTCCCTTCCTCCTCCTCCTCCTCCTCCACCTCCTCCACCTTCTCCTCCTCCTCCTCCTCCTCCTCCTCCTCCTCCTCCTCCTCCTCCTCCTCCTCCTCCTCCTCCTCCCCTCTGCCAGCTTCTCCTCGCACCCGAGGGGCCGCCATTCTCGGATTCCTCTGGGGCTCTGTAGCGGCCTTCTTGGGGCCATCCTGGATGGCTCCGATCGAAAGGACGGAGGTTGCAACCAGCCCCTCCCCCATCGGAGCTCTCTTGGAGTGATCTTGTGGGACGTTCTTGGGTCGCTCTCTCTGGAGCCTCCAACGTAACTGCTGGAGCCTCAGTGGGCTTCCTGGGACTCCTCTTGGGCGATCCGGAGCCATTTCGTGGCCTCAGGCAGCCTTGAGTCGGGCCTGTCCCTCTACAGGGGAAATATTCAAAAATAGTTCAGAAA